GTTTGTTGTTGTTGATTGAATGGTCATCAATTGACTGTGCCTATTTAGTGTGTAGCACTCGAGAGAGAGTACATATTTAGGTAGTTGTTGAACAACGTCACTCCTAACATATGTGAGAAATCAATACAATGGGTTTAAAGGCAGGTTTAGAAATAACAAGCCTTGACGTGGTCATAATGAGCGGTTAGATAAAGCCAACTAGCGTAGTTTGAGAGAATATGTCTAGTAAATTGTTGTAGTTGCTCGAGAGAGAATTACGACATATAAAGTGCTCACGATCAGTAGATAATACATTGGCAAAATTGTAGGGAACCTAGCTAGAAGGATTCCGACAATTGGGGAAATCATAACTCTAGACCTCCTTAATTTAGTCTTCAACCCTTTGTCTCGTTAGTTGATAATTTTACCGCTTTATAGTATTTGCTAGTTAATTAGTTAGAAATATAAATCTCAATCTTTATAATTTAGAAAATTGTTCAATCTTGTCTTCTTAGTGATATTAAACAGATACAGCTAAGCCTTAGTTCTCTGAGGGATTCAACTCCGGACTTATAGATCGGATTATATTTGCAGCTACCGCTTATCCTTTTTAGAACTAGAGTTGGGCGTGATCAAGTCATCACTGACTCTAGTAACCATCAGATGATTAGTATCCCATAACAGCCACACTTTACCATTCTTAGCTTCTTTGTAGTTAGTCAATATACCCCATCCAGACATAATATACTTCGATATTTTTTGACATTTTCTTCTTTAACCTTGGTTTCTGCTAGTGCTACCAACTTTATTTTATTGCTTCTAATGTATTTTCTAACTTCCTTTTGATTATATCTTTTATTTACACCCCTGATATTCCAGAATAATCACTTCATCAATGAGTACTTGTTCCACCTCTATCACTAGGTGGAATGTCATGTTTGCTATTAGACACTGGCTCAAATCTATTCCTAACAGGAATAGGTGTTAGTGGAGGAAAGTTTATGATGTTGAGCTCTGGACTCTGTATTGCTTTCCCTTTATCTTCCTGTCCTGCATCATTATGATCAGCCCTTGGTTGAGTCTTCTCCTTAGTCTTCTGAATTTCAGCTATCTTGGTACTAGTATCATGCTGAACTTCCTGCATTTGAATCTGTACAGACTCTACTTGAGTAGCAGGAGCTGGTACTTTAGTTCTCCATTCTTGAATAACTCTACCCTTCTTAGTAGGCACTTGGTTACCAATCGTTCTCTGAGTTGAACATCTGTGTCCCACTACTAAGCATTTCTCACAATAGGCAGGCTTCCAGTCATAGATTACACTCTGTAGAAACTTTTTCCCACTTGGATCCATCACCCACACTTCACTTGGTAGTTCCTTAGTAACATTAACCTCAATAAGCATCCTGGCATAGGAGATTCTAGTTTGTTTTGTTGTACACTCATCAGCAAAAATAGGCTTCTCAATCACACTTGCTATTCTTCTTAAGGACCCCACACCCCAACATGACATAGGTAATTTAGGGAATTTAGTCCACAATGGAATGGATGTAGGAAATTCCTCTGTAAAATCAAACTCCGGGGTCCATGGCTTCAGAATGATAGGTTTACTAGCTATGGAATAAGGTCCTGCACATAGGATTTCATGAGCATCATCCATATTCTTAAATCTAATTATATAGTAGCCTTCCTCATGGTAAAATAGGTCAGGTTCTGGAACATGAGACCAGTGAATACCAATATATCTTTTCATCGTATTATACCCCGCTCCATCTCCTAAGATATATGCAATCAAAGCACATTTCCATTTAGATTCTTCTTCTTCCACCTCTACCTTGTCTAATTGGACTACAGGTTCTCCATCTACTAATAATGGTGCTATGTATGAAAGTGACATACCATTAGAAGCAAACCTGTTCTTCTGGAAGAGTGTGTCCATGGAGGCTTAGCATCTTCCTTTCGATCATTCCTCACTACTGGTTCTTCCTCTTTATCAGCTAGGTCACTCTGCATCTGGATTGGAATCTGCATAGTTACTGTTCCATTGGATTGCACTTCCATCCCTTCTGAAACTATTCCTTTAGGAGCTGTAATTGTCAAATCTAGCCTCTTAGCTACGTTTGATTAACTTGAAGTTGATCCAATTGCACATGCAGCTGCTCCTTTACAGAGATCTGAATTTTGAGCTGAACTCTGAATTGAAGCTGGTGGAGTGGTTAATGAAGGAATTTTCTCCATTAATGGCTGATTCGTAGTTAGTATCGCTTCTAGTGCTGTTAATGGGTATTTCCGAGGTCTTCCCCTTCCCCTGCCTCTTCCTTTCGCCATGGTTATGAGCTCGGCGTACGTTTAACTAACGTGCGCCGAGAGCATTTTGGAAGAAAGAGTCCACCCATCACTTTTAAAAACCAGCATTATTACTCTATAGAAAAATTAGTAATTTATACAAATATATATTAATTAAGCACCCAGTCTAAGCATTAATTTTCAAATTAAGAACAATTCAGTGCCCGTAATTTAAAAATTTGGATATGCCACGAACATAACGTGCCACCATGTTGTAATATGTCAATTGAGAGAACAAGAAGATCGTTCAACTTTTATCTGATTTAGCGATGTCCAGTTTTTGTAGGTTAGTGGGAGAATTTAGTGACAGGAAATTAAAGAAAAAATTGTAGATATCCTTTTTTTCCCCAGCCATATGAATATGCCAAAAAAAGAAATGACAAAAAATAGCTTTGCTATATTCTTGACATTGGTGATACTGATAGGTTTTTATGGTATTGACTTTAATATTTGGAAATTCCATATTATTATATTCTCTCCGCTTGGACGTCCGATAATAACAAAGTTTTTCTTAGTTTTTCTAGTTATAGATCGTCTACAGATTAATTCATCACCTTTTTTTTTAAAAAAACTAAAAAATATAAATATTGTTTAAGAATACTTCAAAATAATAAAATTTCTGGTTAAAATACTTCCGAAAATATTAGGTTCAAGAAGTCTAAGAGCCCGTTTGGACATAAGATTTTTTTCACTTTTTTTCGAAATCAGTGTTTGGCGATAAAATTTCTAATTTTCACTTTAAGATGAATTTTGGAATTTTTCGAAAATTTTAAAAACTCCAAAAGGTTATTTTTCAAATTTTCACTCATATCACTCATAAAAATTCAAAAACAACCAAAAAAAATTATATTCATGTCCAAACACAACTCTAATTTTCAAATACCATTTTCACTTGAAAAATAATTTTACTTTTTTTTGGAATTTTACAATTCTTATATCCAAACGTCCACTAAGTTAACAATACTTTGATGCCACAATCAAGGAACGGACAAATATAACGCGAAATTGCTCTAAGCGAAAGAAAATAATTTGATGCCAGAATTGTGGAGTTAGATTCTTTCTGATTGGTCCAAACACGTAATTTTTTTTAATAAATTGAGATATGTAACATCAAAACTTGAATTATAACCCCAGCCTGCTCTAATACAATGTTAATATAATTTCTTTAACTTATATATAAGAGGACAACATACAATAAATTCTAATATGTATATGCAATTATGCATTAACAGAAAGAAAGAGATAATATGAAAGGAACACATAATAATAATAAAAAACTAAGGGGTCATTTGGTTGGAAAACAAGTTATCCTATGATTAATTATCCCGGAATTAGTTATCCCACCCCTCCCCTAGGATAAAAAAAAATACTACAATCCATAATTAATCCCGGGATTAGTTATACCATGATTTTATCTCAATCAAATATGAGATAAGCTCATCTCAAATTTAATCTCGAAATTAATTATCCCTTATCCCTCTTGCCAAACGAGTTAAGAAACAAAAACAAGTTTTGTCCATCTTTTATCCTCCAAACTCCAAATTAGTGCTATCAAGCCTGAGACAGTTTTATGGAATCTTCGAGAATCTCTACAAAATCATTTAATATTTTAATTATTTATATTTTTTCCTTGTTGCTACTATAAGTTCTCAAGGAAATATTATATTGTTTGCCATACTCTCTTGCTCAAGGTGCATGATCCTTAGCTTGACTTGCTAATTATATGTCTTTTCTAAACCATTCAGTATTCTAAACTCACTTGCACAATTGACACGTTAAAGAGAAAGCGCTTTCTACTAAAAAAAATTCTGTAGTGCTCATTTTTGACGTGTCAGATTTAGTGAAAACAAAGGGGAAAAATATAAATTCCCACAAATTCTTTTCCTGAAGGGTAGTCTTTGAGCAATGATAAATTAAAGTTGATTTTGTGTGACCTATAAATCACGGGTTATTCAAGCCGTGAAAGCAGCCATTAATGCTTGCATTAGGATAGGTTATCTACATCGCAAACCTTGGAGTGCGACCCTTCTTCGCACCATACGTGAATGCGGGATGCCCTTTTCCTTTGAATTAATCCCTTCCCTAACAAAATAAAAACCTAAATAATTATAGTAACATCCGAGAGAAAACCATAAGCAGACAATACAAATAAGTCTGTGATCTTCCTATATATACAAACAAAAGCTGGCCATAAAAACTTCACATCATTCTCTGTAGTTTCCAAAGAAAGTATTGTATACAATTTTCGCGGACAACTGTTATCTATATACATCAGATAATCAAATACTAAGGGCCCGTTTGGCTCATAAGAAATTTTTTTCTTTTTTCCAGAATCGGTGTTTGTCCATAAAAATTATTTCAAATTTCACTAGAAGTTGAATTTTGAAATTTTTCGGAAATTTGAAATACTCCAAAAAGCTGTTTTTCAAAATTTTCACATCAAATTACTCACAAAAATTCAAAAACAGCTTCAAATTATATTCATGTCCAAACACAACTCTAATTTTCAAATACCATTTTTACTTTTAAAAAAAATCACATTTTTTTTCTAAATTTTACAATTCTTATGCCCACTAAGTAAACTAGCTAGTCTCCCTTGTGTTGTATATATAAAAACAGCTCCTATGTCTCAACTGCCCAAAAAGAGTTATAAACAGATATACTGTGAATATACCAATATGGATACAGTAGTGCCACAGGCATATCTAAATAACACATCCACAGCACCAGATTGGTTGAACAAAGGAGACAATTCATGGCAATTGATTTCAGCCACTTTGGTTGGATTGCAGAGCGTGCCCGGGCTGGTAATATTGTATGGAAGTATAGTGAAGAAGAAATGGGCTGTTAACTCTGCTTTCATGGCTCTCTATGCCTTTGCTGCTGTGATCATTTGTTGGGTTGCATGGGCTTATAAGATGTCCTTTGGGGAACAGCTCCTTCCTTTTTGGGGCAAAGCAGGTCATAATCGGATTCAGAATTTGAATTTGATTTGTTCAAACCTTTAATGCTTTTAGTACTAAACTCGTCAAACATTTAATATTATGGTTCAAAGTTTAATATTTGTTGAACTTTAGTGAGTTTTCATGAAGGTGAGTCTTGGCGTAACTGAAAAAGTTGTTGCAATGTGACCAGGAGGTCACGGGTTCGAGCAGTGGAAATAGTCTCTTGCAAAAATATAGGATAAGGCTGCGTACAATAGACCCCTGTGGTCCGGCCCTTCCCTAAACTCCCCGCATAGCGGGAGCTTAGTGCACCGGACTGCCCTTTAATTTAGTGAATTTTCATGCGTATATCTAAGCTTCATATTCAAAAGGAGGATGTAATGCATAAGTACGGGTGTAGGACTTAGTATAAACCGTGGCCTCGAATATTGTAGATGCGTAAAAAGATTCACCAAATAAGTACAAATCATATAGAGCTTGGACCCAACAAATAGTGGGCTAGGTACAGTGAAATTGCGAATTCAAACTCATAATTTTCAAATTTTGGAACCGCCTTTATTCATGTTGAAAAATGTCGATTCAGCTGAACCTATTAGTCAAAAGGTCTATGTTCCACTAAAGCAAGTCCTATTAATTTATGTTATCATTTTATCTAAAAGCTTAACCGGTTAGACAAAATATACTTTTATTTACTTAATTATATTTTTGACACAATACCCTTCACGTGAGAGCTTAAAACTTCATGGGCCAATCGGATTTTTTTTTTTTTTGATATTTGGTGACAGTAAGACTTAAATCAAGAACTTGACAGTAAGATTTGAATCAATAGAACCCCTGCATGCACTAATCCTGTATTAAATTGTGCGATAATTTCATCTAAAAATTTAAATTGTCAGACATGAGACACTTTAATACTGTAACTTAATTATATCTTCAACAGGCCCGGCTTTAGGCCAGAAGTTCCTCATCAAACAAGCCGCCTTACCGGCCACTACCCACTACTTCAGTGACCACACAACAGTGGAAACAGCCATGGCGACGCCATTTTACCCAATGGCGTCCATGGTTTGGTTCCAGTGCGTGTTCGCGGCGATAGCGCTGATTCTGTTGGCTGGATCTTTGCTTGGGAGGATGAACATAAGGGCATGGATGATGTTTGTGCCTCTATGGCTGACTTTTTCCTACACAGTGGGTGCATTTAGCCTTTGGGGTGGTGGATTTTTGTATCATTGGGGTGTGATTGATTATTCTGGTGGTTATGTTATTCATCTTTCTTCTGGGATAGCTGGCATTACAGCTGCTTACTGGGTTAGTATCTTCTGCCTTCTTTTCTAATTAGTTGCTTTTTCCACAGTTTACTGAGGAAGACTCTCTCTAGACTAAGATTGATTGAATACGGAATTTAAGAAACACTAAGAGATAGAGAATTTTCTAAAGGGAAAATATACAAATATACCCCAAACATTTGTGATTTTTCTGAAATATGTTTTTCATTTATCTTTCGTGGAATCCCACGCTATCTTTCAGTCTCAAATATTTCCCTCCTACTAACGATTTTTCATCCATGACGGAGCCACATGCACTTAAAGAGTGTCAACCAACACCCCTTTATTGAAAAATTACACCGTATAATTAGGTAATTTTTTTATAATATATATATATATATATATACTATGTGTTGACACCCTTTGACTTCTTAGTGAGTTTATTTTTTTATATTTTGGCCCCCTTGATGAAAATTTTGGCTCCGCCACTATTTTTCATCGTGAAAAATTGACCAAGTCATATGTAGGAGTATATTTGGACCTCTATAATTGTTTATAAGTATATTAATTCTAATGTTTTCAATTGATCAGGGGTATACTTCAAATTATTGCACAAAGTATACGTAAACTAGTTTGATAATTTAGGGATAGGTTGGATTTTTGTTTGTATACGTAGCTCTACTAGGGCAAATATCAGGTCAAGCTAAATGATAGCTAAAAAAATATCCCGCGTTCATGAATGGTTGGAGAAAAATGCCGCATCTCTAGGGGTATGATGCAAACTGCCTACCCTAATGCAAGTATTAGTGGCTGCTTACGTGGTGCGAACCCGTGACTATAGGTCATATGGAGACAACTTTATCGTTGCTCCAAGGCTCCTCTTCAACGGTTAATTAAAGAAATGAGAGCAAATATAAGGCAAATCGAATATTCTTATTCATTTTCTTCTTCTTTGCCTTTCAGGTAGGTCCAAGGACAAAAAGTGACAGAGAAAGGTTTCCACCAAACAATATCTTATTGATGTTAGCAGGGGCAGGGCTACTGTGGATGGGTTGGGCTGGTTTTAATGGGGGAGATCCCTACAGTGCAAATATTGATTCCTCCATTGCTGTACTCAACACTAACATCTGTGCCGCAACAAGCTTACTGGTTTGGACTTGGCTTCATGTTATTTTCTTTGGAAAGCCTTCCGTCATTGGTGCTGTCCAAGGAATGATTACTGGCCTTGTTTGTATCACTCCTGGTGCAGGTAACCTCGACACCGACAATAATAACTGCGCTTCAATCCCCTATAGGTTGGGTTGACTCTATGAATTCTCAATAATAGCCTTAATACCAACAATAATAACGGCGCTTTAGTGGCGTATAAGTTGGGTTGACTCTATGAATTCTCAATGGTCGTCTCCGTCCTGTATAAGTTGGATTGACTCTATGAATTCTCAATAATAGCCTTAATACCAACAATAATAACGGCGCTTTAGTCCCGTATAAGTTGGGTTGGTTATCTGAATTCTAAATGGTCGTCTCTTCATTTAAATTCATGGGCAAACATTATACAAAAGAAAAATAAAAAGTACTAGAAATTCTTTCTATATTTTTTAGTGTTATAAAAATCCCTAATATGACGAAAAGGTTCCAGGAAAGCATAAGACTTAAAGTAAACATAATCATTAACATGACTAAAACATACTTTCCACTAATTGGTATAGCCTATCCGGGGCGAAACAAATGAAAAAGTTGTGGGTTCATCTGAATCTAGTAACTTCGGCTTAGGCCCTATATATAGGTTAAAATCGAGCTAAATAAGTGCAAAAATAGATTTTGAACCCATTAAATTAGACACGACGTTGTAGAATTTTGAAATTTGAACCCATAAAGTTTAAATCTTAGATACGCCTCAATCGCCTTATAAATCTTTTTCGTCCATTGTGCCTTATCTTTTGGTAAGATTGCATTGTCCATTGTGTTTAAGACACTTTGAATGTACTTTAGGTGTCTAACATGTTACAATCTCAATTATTGAAGTGTCTAAATGAAAAAAAAAGTGACAAATTTAAGGCACTAAATTATGTATTTGGCCTTACTTAAAAGCTACATCTAAATATTTGATTATCTGTCGGCTTACCCTGTTTTTACAATTATAGGTCTAGTTCAAGGATGGGCAGCTATAATAATGGGAATCCTATCAGGAAGCGTACCGTGGTTCACAATGATGATCGTTCACAAGAGGTGGCCATTGCTCCAGAAAATCGACGACACGCTCGGCGTCTTCCACACGCACGCCGTTGCCGGTTTACTTGGCGGCACGCTCACCGGACTCTTCGCCGAGCCGGTCCTCTGCAGCCTCTTTTTGCCCGTGACCAACACGAGGGGTGGCGTTTACGGCGGTTTAGGTGGTATCCAATTCTTAAGATAGTTTCCTGAAAGTGCCTTGCCTACAATACACACTTCATATTTTTCATAAAAAATCTTTTGCACGATTTGACAACAACAGTAATCTCACGAGTGGGGTCTGGGTAACGTAGTATTTGTGAACCTTACCCCTACCTTGAAACTTGAACGATTGCACTCTTTTAGATTATTTTCAATAGTTCTACAACACTGGTTGCATCTAATTCCTAAGATAGTTTTCTGATGGCGCCTTGCTTATCATCATTCCATATTTTTTTTATAAAAATTCTTTTGCGAAATTTCATTTTTTAGATAATTTTTTTCATTTTTCTACAACACGTGACATTCAATTCTTAATTTTTTTCTGCTTCATGAAAACGCCTTGTTTACATTCATTCAAATTTTTTCCATAAAACCCTTGCTCATCCTCATTCCATATTTTTTTTTCTAAAAAATTCTTTTGCACAATTTCACTCTTTTAGATAATTTTTTCAGTTTTCTACAACACAGGTGACATATAATTCTTAAATCTTTTTCTTCCTGAAAACGCCTTGTTTATATTCATTCCATATTTCTCATAAAAAAATTCTTGCACAATTTAACTTGTTTAGATTATTTTTCGATATTTCTACAATACAGGCGGCGTCCAATTTATGAAACAAATTGTGGGTGGCGGATTTATTATCGGATGGAACGTCGTTGTGACTTCAATCATTTGCTATTTGATAAGCTTGTTAATGCCATTGCGCATGTCGGAGGAGCAGCTGAAGATAGGAGATGATGCAGTGCATGGCGAAGAAGCTTATGCTTTGTGGGGAGATGGAGAGGTTTATGATCCAACTAAGCATGGATTTTCATCTCCAGATAAAACTACACATGGAAAATTAGCCAGAGGGACTACAGAATTGATATAAGAAAAAAAAGGAAAATTGGATATTTAAGTATATGCATGGTCGAGTGAAAAACTTATGCATCGACGTTTACACCAAAATAAAGAATGCAAAACATGTCTTTTTTATATACACATTGTTCAGATTAAATTACTTGATTTAGTGGGAACACTAAGTACGGGTAAGTTGTACCGAGCTTTTATTACTGGTTATATTTATTGTTTTTCTATTTATTTTTGGGCTCTTAGGACGTTGTTATTATTTTTCTGCCTTTTGTTATTGCTAGTTATCTATTGTCTCTTTTCGTATTCTTTAGCGGAGGATCTACCGGAAATAACCTCTTATAAAATTTCACTACCCTTCCCAGGTTCACTTGTAAAATTTCAATGAGTTTGTTGTTATTGTTGTACTAAGTACGAGTAGGTATATTTAGGACAAAGGGTGTGTTCAATTTGCATTCTGTAACAAGCAAACAGTCTAAACTGCATGCAATTAATGTCTTGTAATAGGTTCGTTTTCTGCAGGTGATAATGGTGTATGCTCATGTATCATATCCCAAAACCTTTATAGATGCATGGAAATTAAAGGGGTTAATACATTAATTTCCGTTTTAGCTTGTTCAGAATTTTAAGTGACGCTTGTATTATGTACTTATAAAATAGGCAAAATACATAAACAGACGTTTAAAGTTGGTCTCAACTGGCAGTGAATATTTTAACATTCTCAATAATCATCTAGACACTCCAACTTAACACAAGTATGTCTTGTGGACATCCCGAGCTGACATGGCAAAATGAGTGTTTCACACTTGAGTGCGTGAAATCTCTAACAATTATATTTTTCTCCCCCCTAAATTAACATCCTCCTACTTTCCACCAACATCTTTAATTACGATTAAAAGAAAAAATTTCAAATAGACCAAGATTTAATTTCAGGTTCAAAAGATTATCTTTCTATCTCTTGCATCTTCATCTTTTCAAAAAGCTCAAATAATTTATTTTTGGAAAATCAAATTTTCGGCTTAAAATATACAAATGATTTGAAGATAATACACATAATGATCATTAAATTTAACATTTTGGTAATTTATATTTTTGAAACAGTTCACATATATATTGGTCACAATAAAAAATAATTGTACAACATTTATATTTTCTAAACAATTCACACATATATTATTAGGTTTGATTTACTCATTTACTTTCGGATATTATCTACATTTAACCTCTGTTATACTATTCTCCCAAATTTACCTCTGCGGTTTACTATTCGACCAAATTTACCCCTACCATTAAAAATTATCTCTCAGTCCGTTAAGTAACCCAAAATCTTCCAAATTCATTTTATTTAAATCACTTGTTCTTCATCTTGATCCACTATTTTTAAAAATTATTATTAATGTGAATGCTAAAGGTACTAAACTATACAAATTATTTATGGATTTTTTTAGTTACCATTGCACCCACCACTCTTCTTGTGATAATGGTTTTGAAATCAATTTAATATTTTTATAATTTTTCAAATATACACACAGTAAAATTCTATGGGTCCATTTGTTATGTATTATATGCGCCTACTCCATATATATTCGAATAAATTTTGTAATTGTCTAATTAATATAGAGTTTGGTCGACTAACTTAAGAGTGTACAACGTGTAGGCATTTGATTAAAGCAAAGTTGAATTCGGCAACGCAAAATCTCCAAGGAACTTCAACTTCTATCACTAATTCTTGTAAAGTCTTCATACCATATTTGGTGGAACGAATTCATTAAAGCTGGGGTATTATAAATACTTTTGAAAATTTGAAAATAGTGGATCAAGAAAAAGAATAAGTGACTTAAAATAAAATAATTTGAGAGATTTTGGATCACCTGACGGGCTGAAGGGTAATTTTTAAAAGTTTATTGATGGTAAGGATAAATTTGGTCGGATAGTATAGTGGTAGGGGTGAATTTGGCCAAATAATATAACGGAGGTTAAATGAGGACAATATTCAAAAGTAAAGAGGTATATTTGAACCTTTTCCCTAAAAAATAACTTTATAATTGTACGACTATAGTGGGTAAAATTGTCATACCAAAAAACAGAAAAGGGTCATATATGCCAGTGAACTATGCGAATTAGGACAGATATGCCCGTCGTTAATAGTTTGACACAGATATGCCCATTCCGTCCAATACTTGCTCATTCATGCCCTTAGTTTAACGGAATCACTATTTTGTCTTTCTTAAGTAATTAATAACCGCCCGAACCAAAATCTGCTGACTCGATCCGTTAGGACCAGACCCACCCTTATTTCAAAGATATTTTTTGATATATTATTTTGTTTGATTGAGAAATTGTGTGACAATCATATTTATTTATTTGAGTAATTTGATAATCGATTTTTTTTTTTGTTACACGTCATTTCGGGAAGTAATCCTACTAAAAGTAGTAATTGATATTTATTTATTATTTTAAAAATAGAATATTCGAATTAGTTTGTGTTTTCTTCAATTATTTTACCATCAATCGATACCCTTTGCCAACAAATTACATTGTGTAGCTAGGTTAATTTTTTTTATATATGTTAACACACTATATGTTAAATTTCCTTAACTTCTTCTTTACTTCTTTATATTTTGATACCCTTAATGAAATTCCTAGTTCCGTTACTAATATTAGGCATAAACTAATACAGAAGTGATGTATTAAATTATATCAGGATTAGCGATACAAGTTTCAGAAAATAGAAACCAAACACTGGAAAAAAGCAATCCCAAATTTTACACCCTATCCTCCACTTTTACAACTACCATATGTCAGCTACCTTTATACACAACTAGACATTGAAAAAATCTGTGAATTCCAAAGTAAACCATTTCTCAAAGTACAAAATATTTTCTATGGAAAAGGTTCCAAATTTTCTTATAAAACAATAATGAATTAATTTTATCTAAAGTTCATCCAATTATATGGAAAAAAGAAATTCCGAGTGACAAAGACTAAAAAATAGTAATAATAAAAAGGAGAAAGGAAAGACCTTTGAAGATTATCGTTTAAGGTTGGAACTAGCTAATTTGAAGATTATAGATGGTAAAATGATTGAAGAAATTATATTATTAAAATAATAAATAAATATCAATTACTATTTTTAGTAGAATTACTTTCCGAAATAATGTATAACAAAAAAAATAGATTATAAAATTACTTAAATAAATAAATAAATATGATTATCACACAATTTCTCAATCAAACAAAAATAATATATCAAAAAATATCTTTGAAATAAGGGTGAGTCGGGTCCTAACGGATCGGGCCAATAGATTTTGGTTGGGTTCGGTTATTAATCTATACTATATTAAAAGTACGAAGGCCATTAGCGAAATGTCGTTCGCCTTTTTTATTCTTTAAAAATATATTTCACATTAGACAAAATCGTAATTTAGTTATTTTCCTAATATTTAGAACTTTAAAATCAATTAGAATTTGGTTATTGAATCTTTCCTTCTTTACCTTNATTTGGGCCTTGTGCCAAGCTGTTTGGACCCTTAGGGGACTTTTCGTATTATTTCCTCACTGTTTTAACTTAAGGTTTGTAATCAGTCATGCTATATTTTACTGATTTCATAACTCAGTCTTTATTACTCCGTTTTGATGCATAAAATGATATTTTGGGCTGAGCACCCTATTTTACTGATAGCCCGAGTGGCTTGAGAGATTTCTGACTGAGTGAGGCCGAGGGCTTGTGCCTTCTCTAACCAATCTTGCATGGAAACTCTTGACCAACACCAATGCCCCATTGTCCAGAACTCTAATTCAAAAATATGCAACAAATACTCCCCAAAAATACAATTCCTTTGTTTGGAAAAGCATTCTCAAGGGATGGTCTATTTGTTCCAAATGCATCACATGGAATCCATGCAAAAACTCTAAACTAAATATTTGGACCACCAACTGGATTCCCAATTGTACATCCCTAAGACAATTAATACAAGGTCCTCTCAGAAGAGAAGAGACTACCTTAACTATTAAAGATATCCTCCTCCGTAACCACTGGAACTTGGCAAAAATATCATTCTCTATTCCTAAGGAGGTAAAAATTAACATCAAAAAAGTTCCCATGCCTTTAAATAATAGAGAGGAGACTCCTATTTGGTCCCTTACCTCCAATGGCTGTTTCACATCCAAATCATGCTCCAACCTATTACAAGAAACTACACCCCATCAACACAACTTCATGTGGATCTGGAAGCTTAATTGCCCTAATAAAATTAGGTTTTTTCTATGGCAATTTCTTCACAACAGAATACCTTGTCGCCAATACCTGCATCACATTGGCATTAATATTGATAACAGCTGTGCCATGTGCCATAACGAAGAGGAATCACTAAGGCACATTTTTCTGACATGCACCATCGTTCAAAATTATGGAATGATCTAGGAGTAAATGTGTCCTCCCTAACAAACCAACACTGGCTGCTTGAAATAAAAAACCTTACAACAAACTTCAAGAACGCCTTCATTAACTGGCAACAATTTTTTCCGTTCTTAATATGGGAAATTTGGTTAAACAGAAATAGTAATAACATTAACAATACTACTCTGAGCCCCTCTATCCAAAAATTCACAAATCACGCCTTAGAATTTCACTTCATGACCTTTACAAATCATCTTTTTAATAATATGAGGACCATCAACATTAAATGGCATGCCCCCCCAAAAGGGATGGATAAAACTTAACATTGATGGTGCTTATGAGAATCTAAAAAGTGATCTAGGCAGAATATTCAGATAACAAGGGGAACTGGATAATTGGATTCCAAAAATTCAGTAATGCTCTTTGTCCACTTCACATTGAATTACAAGCACTCTATGAAGGTCTCCAGCTAGCTCAAAGATTCAATCTATTTCCCTTAGAAATAGAAACGGACTCCAAAGATGTGATCAAGGCTATTACAAACGGACACGCCATACTAAACAACTTAATTCATGCTTGTAGGTCATTAATGCACCAGGAGAAGGGCCTCCTAGTGAGCATAATTTTAGGCAAGGGAA